ATTGCTGGGTCATAGGGAAGCTCCATGTTTAGCAGTTTGAGGAACCTCCAAACAGTTTTCCATAGTGGTTGTATTAGTTTGCATTCCCACCAGGAGAGTTCCTTTTTCTCCACATCCTCGCCAATAATGTTTTCTTTCTTAAGGGGACTAGGGCACATGGCTGTTTGCTATGTGTACTTACAAGTTTTGGCATATCTGAAACAGTACATCACTCTTTTAAAAAAGAAAAATATAAAGGAGATATGGATGCTGGTTCCAGCAGTGTTGTATCATGCTGAATTATGAGTTAGTAGTAGATGGTATATAAAAGAGAAGTTTACATCTAAAATTTCAAATACTTGGTGAGTCACCAAGAGGCAAAATGTATAAAGGCCACCTTTCATTCTTTCAACTAGAACTTCAGAATCGCAATCACCTTTTATAATGTAGTGTTATGGGTATTCTATATAGGTGGAGGCCACCTTGAGGAGGAAGCCAGTGTTTGCAAGATGTTATTTCCCTTGAGTTTTGAAAAAGACTGGTGTGGATATTTGTGTCAGCAAGGTGGGGAGAGAACAAGGCACTGTAGATAAAATATATATGCACTCTTCAGCATGAAACATCACAACTCACTGGAGCTACCTGAATCTCAACAATTACTATGTAGTTTGTAGAACGCTAGATTTGGGGGTCTGGGGGGAGATCATCCTGAAGAACGGACAGAGGCGAGGTCACTGGGGAGTTCTTATGCTCAGCCAAGAAAAAACTTCATCCCAAAGTCCAAGAGGTGACCAAAAAACTGGTATACCACGATAAAAAATAAATTTCAAAAGACTGTTCTGGTGGCAAGACAGAGATGGGCTGGAATGAAGCTGGGTGGGCTAAAAAACTATGAGGTTAACTAGATAGTTACAGTCACAGTTTGAAAACGCAATGACGGGACCTCAAAACAGGACAGTTGCAGTGTGTTTGTAGATTAAGTGAAAAACACTCAGAAGATGGAATCAAAGGAACTTGCTGACTGTTTAGATGTAAAAATAAGAGAGAAGGTAGTGTCCTTTAAGCCAGGTCAAATTAGCCCCTCCGGGAAAAGTCAGCCAGTCAGGATGAGACAGAATGCTCGTACCTTTGCAGTGCTGCTGATATCATCAGGGTCCCCCTCCTCACACTCCAACAGTGTTACATGGGTGAGGTTCTCCACTGGATTTGTGAGCGTCAGGAGGACCTGGCTCTCCTGGGGAACAGGAAAATCATCTCAGACATGCCCACTACTGCCACCTAGGGCCCCTGTCTCAGTAGTTACATGAAATACTTCACAAAAGCATCAGCCTCCCCTTCTCCCCACCACTCCGGAGCACGTGTAACTGCATTCTCAAAGTGCTCTATGAGCCCACTCTAGTATTCACATGGATATGTACTCCCTGGAGTTGCTATTTCACTGAGGAAATGGGACAAAGTCCATAGAAAGGGCCAGTTACTGGACTGAGATATTCTGAGGAATATACAGTTTCCATGTAAATCTTGACAGTTTCATGTTTATGACTCCTATCCCAACGAGGCTGCACTTAAGGAGTAGAAAAAAGGAAGTCTTCATAAATGTATGGGAACCACAGACTAACCATATGTAATAACAGATCAAGACTATCAAAAACTAGAGTTTTCTTAAATGGTAATTATCCTTGCTTGATACTTTGAAATTAGCAAAAAATGTTTAAAAATGAACAGGAAGTATGTAAATGTCTTCATGAACAGCATGAACAGAAAGAACTTAAGAGGCTGCGATAGAACATTCTTTAATATATATGCAGTGTGCCCTTGTATGTGTGTGTGGCATAAATGAGGACACCCAACAAAAGGAGGTCTTTGGTAAGGAAGAAATCTAGTTGATTCCTGATTATGTGATACTTAGGTACATGGGATGGCAGAGAATCTCCTGACTAGGGAATACTTAAGATACTGCTCCCTCCACCCATACCTATGATTCCACCTTTAAATAATGGACCCATTATGCCTACACACATTTCAATGATACAGTTTTCAAGAATTCTAGTTTAAAGAAACGTAAAACAACTCTATTATTTCAAACTGTCTTCATTTCTATTGCTTGCTCACTGAAGCCCATGCCAAATACACACACCACTGAATACACACACACATCCTTTCTCCATTAATGACAGTACTAACCTTATTGTGGCGAAGGTTGGGAATTGACATGATTCTCACTTCCGGGATGTAATTGCTGTACATAAATTAAAAAAAAAAATTATAAATGTTCAGTTCTTAAAATTATTACTATTTTTTCCCATCTAGTACAGCAAAGGAAAGATTTCTTTATATTAACCACAACAGTCAAAGAAGAATTTTAAAGAATCATCACAAAAAGAACTCAGAACAACTCAAGAAATCAATTTGCTGATGAGTTTTGAGATTTTATATATTCTTTTGGCTGAGCGCTTATAAATGTGTGCATCATGGCAGATATTTTCTTAAATATTTTAAAAATCGTACTGATTTGTTTTTGTAAATCTACAAATAACTGTTGGAAGAACACAACTGATGTAAGAAATCACGGTAAGGCGTGACAGCGTGGTGCATGCTTACCGAACACTCGGCAGCACTTACTGTGTCTCAGGCCCTGCTGGTTCCTTCCTTCTAACTAATCAAACTAGCATCGCAATCTTTTTAATTGCCAGCGATTTCCTTTTATCTGCAGAATAATATTCTACAGCATGAGCATATTTTGATTTAATCAGTTATTTCCCATAACTAGTAAGTACGAAATTCAAATCATTTATATTTCTTTGTCATTAAAATGTTGCAATACTCATCCTTGTGTATTTTTAGCTGTTGCTGCTTTTATTTTTACAGAATAGAAAGGTGTATGAAATTTTCCCTTGGTGTTCTAGAATACTCTTTGAAAAGGCTAGCATTGTTGCTACCAACAATGTAAACAAATATGCTGATTCCTACCCTCTAAAGTACTGGAAACTATTATTTTTAAAGTTTTCCTATCTACTCTCAACATCTACTCACATATTTACAAGAGATTTGGAATCTATCTTCTCTAAGCTACCTGGTGAAATCCTTTGCCACCCATCCCATTTTTTAGCTGTCTAATTGCTGGAAATTCTACATCGCAGGGATATTAAACTCTTATTTGTCATGGAACAGCAAACCTTCTTTCCAGCTCTGTGGTCTGTCTCAGAACTTTGTAGTTAATTCTTTTTACAAACCACTTTTTATTTTGCTAAGGTCAAAGCTATTTCCTTAGTGGCTTCTGGGCTTCCTGCCTCACTTTTAGGAGGAACCTTCTCACCCTGAGGTCAACATAATATTTTCCTAATGTTTTCTGTTTGATAGGTGATTTTTCATGCACAATATTCCCTTCCAGTAATAAGTTCCAGTGAGTTAACACTAACTTATTCACTACCTCACTCAATGAAGTTTTATCAGAACGTAGCTAAGTAAAATAAACATAGTTACAGGATATTATCTTCAATTTGCTGTAGATTTTTACTTTACATAAAAAAAATCATTTTCAAAATCAAGTGGTGACTTGAGATTTCTGTTTTAATGACCAACATGCCACACCACCTCAGACCCCACCATCACTGTGGCCCTGATGCCATCAGCACCCTTGATTCTAGGTCAGATTTTCCCTACGTCATGCTATGTAACTGAACTCCTAAACGGGAGCAAATAGCAAGGTTATTCTGATGTAGTTTTTCTTTTTCTTAAGCATAGATAAATACATTTCACACTGGGAAAAACCAAAGGAACAGTAACAAAGCCAATCTTAGAATACTCACACAGCAACCATTTGGATTTTGAATTTGATAGATGTTGGGTTGAATTCTGGTTTGCTCAAATTATGTTCGCATTTCTAAAAAGGAAAAATTGTAATATACATCAGGGAAAAGAACACTCTGCAGATCCTGCTACATCAGGAGGGCAGCATTCACTAGAGTTTAATTTTTATTCAGCTACAAGGTCACACATGCTTTGAAAGCGTGTGTGCTACTGATACCAAAATTTACAGAAAATTTAGGTATTTTGGACTATCTATGAACAACTACCTCTACCTATAGTGGACTAGCTATAGGCAACCACACTAGCAATACAAAATGAGTTCTTACTGTGTGAGCTGAAAGATGTGCTCCTGAGTTTAAAGGGCTGTAAGCATTACACTGACTCAAGTGGGATGGGTACCACATTGCTGCTTGTCCCTATTTTGCAATGATGAAAAGGGGCACAGGAAGGTAAGCAACCTGTGTAACCTCACAGCACCCAGAAAGAATCGAAGATGGGATTTACATCCAAGTAGAGGGATCCCTGACCATACACTTTAAAATTCAGTAACAACCCTTTACTTTTTTTTTTGAACGTGTACTACAGATCGTCGTTGAAATTATTTTTTAGTAGTCCAAAAAAATAGTACAGTATAAACACTCCATTTCCCCCCCCTTGTTTCCCTTCTCAGAGCCAACCTGTTTTTCCTGTGCTTTCTCAAAGATAGCCTTGCAGCTGTATCTTTTATTCTTCACAGAAACACAAAGGGGAGCTCTTTGCTTTTTTCACTTTATCTTGGAATTCCATGACCAGCACAAAGAGGGGCCCCTCTACCCCATAGTGACAATTTAAAAAACTTATTTAACCAGACTTATTTAAACTGACTGCTAGTCAGATGTTTTTATGATTTTGCTACTACAAATGCAGCAGCAATGAGTACTACATGTGAACCATCTCCCTCAGGTTTGCCTGCACTTGCTATCTTCACAGACAGTGCCAAATTGCTGAGTTTTGCTAATTTGATGAGTATGAAATGGTTATCTCACTGCAGTTTCTCCTGATCTGTGTCTCAGTACGTTTCCTACTTACTGGCTACAGGGATTTTCTCTGCCATGACTTGTTAGTATCCACTGAGTATTTTTATACCAGGATATCTTTCTTTACTGATTTCATAGAAAAGTTCTTTACACATTCTGGATGCTGATACTGCACAAATTACATCAGCGTGTGACTTATCTTTTTCATCTCTTTATGGGTTTTCTTTGCAGTGGTGGTAGAAGTTTTACCTCCAATGTATTCTATTTTTATCAGATTTATTTATTTATGCATATAAAAACTGGGGTATAGACTAGAGGTGCAGGGGGGTGAGGGTGAGATGATTCACCAGACAGAGAGTGGGGAGAACAGGCAGATGTACTAAATACACTTTGAGGAGTGTAGAAGGCAAGACAGAGGAGGTCTGCTGCGCCATGTGGGTCAGCTCGCTGGCCGGCTGGGTACTGAACTCATACTACAGTGGCATGCTGGCAATAGCTTGATAGCACTCTTTAATCCCTGTGCCACCAGGGAGGCCCCTCCAATGTATTCTAATCAACAACTTTTTCCTTTATAGTCTGTGTTGATTTGTCTTAATGGAATACTTGTTACACAAAAGTCTCCTATACTTCCTTCTGAAAGTTTTGACCTACAATTGTAATTGCTCTTTAAAGTTTCCTGTATTCCTAAACTGAGTTTGTGTACAGTGTGAGGTAGAGACCCAATCTTATTTTTTCCAACAATCATTTAACCAAGCAAAACTTAACAGGAATTCCTTTCCCTAATGATCTGCAAGGTCATATTTAGTAAATCTTGTTTTCTCACAAGCATGAGTCTTGTTTTTGTTTTCTCTATTCTATTCCATTAATCTTTTAACAAGTATATATATTTTTTCTTATTTTTTTGTTTATATACACATGTTTTCACTTCCCTTCTTTATACAAAAAGTAGTGTACCTGTTATGCAACCTACATTTTGCACTAAAAAAGGCCCCATGTGGGCCCTCCTTGATGGCACAATGGGTTAGGATCCAGTACTGAAAGCTGGTTGCAGCCACTTCAGTGCAAGTTCAATCCCTGGACCTGGCTGTGACCCACATGGTGCAGCAGACCTCTCCTTTCTCACCTGCTGCTCCCCTCAGCAGTGTACTTTGTCAATCTGCCTATTCTACTCCCCACTCGGTCTGGTGAATCTTCTCACTGCCCTGCACCTCTGGCCTGTACCCCAGTTCTATATGCATAAATAAACCAATAAATAAATAAAAAATTAAAAAGGCCCTATCCTAGTACATTCTTTTTAAATAGATTTACAATACTCACTGTGTGGATGTACCACAATCTCTGCATGTTTTGGTTTATATGTGTGTAAGTGTCCCTTGAAAGTAGATTGCTAAATGTGGTCAATGAGTCAACAGGAAACTATTATTTAGTTTTGTTGGAAATTAGTGTATTAATGGTATACACTATAACTGACATTACTTTATAAATATATTTACATTGTTTTATATTAATATTTACTGTCACTAACTTTTTTTTAAAAGAATAAACTTTTGGTTTTGTTGAGTTTTTGTATTTTATATTGGTTACTTCACTCACTAATGATACTTTCTTCTAACTTCTTTGGACTTACTTGGTTGTTCTTCTGACATCCTGAACTGGATACTGAGATCACCAATCTCTTAACATTCCTTCTTTTAAAATATATAAATATATAAGCACAGCACACAAATTCTCCTGTAGTGGAATCATTGATTTCTAACTTATAGTTGTAGGGTGGTTAATAACATAATACAATAATTTTATCTTTTTAAGAGGTGAGCCAACATGTAGTTAATTTTTATAAGTGGTCTGTGTATACTTGAAAATAAGTATTTGCAGACTGGGTAGTTTCCTAAACCTGCCATCAAGTCATGTTTGCTAGCTAAACTGTTCAAATAGTCTATATTGTTATTTGAAAATGTTAATGTAGATGATAAATTCAATTGGGTCATGGTGCATACTTAATATTTTTTTGAATTGATTTGCTAATTTTATTGAGTATTTTGCATCCACGGTCAAGAATTTTCTTGTAATGTCTGTCTGGCTTTGGCATTAGGGAATATTATTAAGTTAAAATGAGTTAGGAATATTCCCTCTGCTTCCTTCTATTTTCTGAAAAATTGCTGAAAATTGATGTCATTTCTTCCAGTGAATATACCTGGGTCTGATGCTCTCTGTTTTGAAAGGTTATTCAGTACTGATTCTTTGATATGGGCCTATTCAACTTGTCTATTTCTTCTTATGTGGATCTTGACAGATTATTTTTTTAAGGAATTGAATCATTTCATCTAGATTATCAAATATGTGGAATATGTTATTGTTCTATGGGATCTGACATGATGCCCTCTTTTCGTTTTTGTTATTTGTAATTTGTGTCCTATTTTTTGTTTGGCTAGAAGGTTATTAATTTTGTTGACAGCTGTGGTTTCACTGATTCTATTGTTCTCCTCCTATTTCAATTTCATTGATTTCTGTTCCAAGTCATTTAATTTTCTGTTTACTATGGAGTTACTTTTTCTGTCTAGTTTCCTAAAGTGTAAACTAATGATGACTGACTAGATCTTTCTGCTTTCTGATATATGCATTCAATGCTATAAATTTTCCTCTAAGCATGGCTTTTGCTATACTCCACAAATTTGGTAGCTCTGTAAAGATTTAGTTTTTGCCCCATGTGTTACTTAGAAGAGTGTTGTTTAATCCCCACATACCTTGAGTTATTCCAGTTATGTTTGTTACTGATTTTGAGTTTATCCATTATGATCTGAATGTAGATACTATATGGCTCCTACTCTTTCAGATTTTTTAAGGCATTTTATATGGCCCAGAATGTAGTCTATTTTGGTGAATGTCCCTATGATCTTGAGAAAAATGTACATTCTCCTGCTGATAGAAGGGCTCTATAGATGTCATTATTTCCAGTGACTGATGTTGGTGTTGAATTCAACTATGTCCTCACTGATTTTCTGCCATTTCTCTAGGTGACACTCTTTTGCTAGGCAAATATTAAGAATTGTTCTCTTTTAAAATGTCATTTTTGTTATTATTCTTTATTCTTGTATTTCTTTATCCCTGATCATTATCCTTACTTGGAGATCTGCTCAGTCTGAAATTAATAGTCACTCCTGCTTTCTTTTGATCAGTGTTATCATGGTTTATTTTTGTCCATCAATTTACTTTTAATCTATATGTGCACTTTATGTTTAAAATGGCCTTTCTTTTTAAAAAGGTTTTCATTATAGAAATTTTCTTATACATGCAATTATACAGAGCAGTATTATGAATCCCTACATCCCCATCACCCCCAACAATTAGCACCTTATTAGCAACAATAATCAAGTTTATTTTCATCTATACTTCCCACACACCCCCACCCCGGCCTGATTATTTAAAAACAAGTATCATGTATTATGACATTTCATTCATAAATATTTTTGTACATCTTTCTTACTGATAAATATATTTTTAAAAATAACTACTCTTGGGCCCTCCCTGGTGGCACAGTGGGTTAAAGCACAGCACTAAGAAGCTAAAGCCACTTTAGCATGAGTTCGATTCCCACCTCCCCGCCTGGAGATGATTCACATGGTGCCGGAAGACCTCTCCTGACCCGCCCGCTGCTCCCTCAGCAGAGTACTTTGTCCATCACCTGTTCTGTTCCCCACTCTTTCTCTGGTGAAGCCTCTCACCGCCCCTGCACCTCTGACCTGTACCCCAGTTCTGTATGCATAAATAAATAATTCTTAAAAAAAAAAAAAAAAAAACTACCCTTAACTCTTAAAAAAGAATACAACAATAGAAACCCAGGCAGTGCTTAAATCTCTACACCAAAACTTTTTCTTTCTTTCCTTACTTTTCCCCTTCTACTTCCCCCTTTTCTCTCTTCCCCAGCTCCTTTTTTCTGTTTTGTTTGAATCAGCATTTAAATAAAGTCTGTACCCTGTGCTTGATTGATATACCTCTTAAGTCTCTACTAACTTAAAACTGTGTTATTTCAGAACAGTAGCCAGTAATCACATGTGGTCGTTGAAATGAATTAAAACAAGACATTCAGTACTTCAATTATGATATCACATTTCACATGATCAACAATCTCGTGTCTAGTGGCTACTATACTAGACTGTGCAGATGATGAACATGTCCATCATCACAGAAAGTTCTGCTGCATAGCACTGACTGAATGTTTCTTTTTAGTTTTATGATTTTCTTTCACAACTTAGTTATTGAAGAAAATTCTTTGTTCTGTAAATTCATGCCTGGATTTTTCTTTTTAAATTGATTATTTTTGTATTTTTTACTGTTCCTTTTTACTTCCTCTCTTCTAGCCTAAAAGCTACCTTTTTAGGGGTGAGTGCTATGAACACTGCCTTCAATGAACTGCCCCATATCCAAATCTGTAAGGGGTAACATAGTACCTACATGCCATACAGCTATAAAGACTCAGTTTATTTGGAAAGAATTTAGAATAGTGTCTGGATGCTCAGTACATCCTCGTTAGTGATTTTATTTGCTACATTCCAGGGCTTTCGCTTTTTGCCATGTACCAATCGTGTTTTTGTTTTTCTCCAATACAGGTGAGAACGTGACAGAATGGAACACTCACCCGGCAGCGTAAGGACCGTTTGATCAGAAGATGTTTGTGACGAGGATAGAGCTGTGAAGCACAAATTGGTTGGAAGTCAGGCTGTAAGAGGCGCTGCTGAAGAGTGGTCACTGGCATGGAAAGTAGAAACCAGGCTTAGTTTGCAGTGGCTTGCTCAAATTGAGACTTACATGCAATAATCACATGAGAAAACACTGCTTTTGTGATGCATGTTCTTCAAAAAATGGTAATATAATGACATTTTAAAGTTCTTCATGCTCATATCTATTTAATTTTCTACATAACTCATTTTATTGTGACCTCATATTAACAGACCTAAGAGAGAAACAAAGCTGATAATGTATAAACTTACCTTCTGTTAAATTTACTGGTCTTGTATAATAGTCTTCGGGTAGAGGCTCCACTTCCTCAAAAGCCTGAGCTGGTTCAATCTTTATCTCTTTCTGGTCCTCCCCTTCTTTAAGGCTGAAAGATTAAAAGTAGAAATTTCTCAGGGGTCCACTTGATAAGCTTCAAGGTTTATAATGTCAGTTATTAAAGCATTCTGCTACTGTAAGATATTCTTTCTGTTTAAATCTTTTCTAAGTAAGGGAATCTTCCCCACTGGATACTATTTTGCTTTATAAGTTCTACTCCGTCAATATCCTGGTAACTCCTTTTCTCTATAGTCATTTAATGTCCAAACTTACGAAAGTCCAGCAAGTGTACTGATGGTTGCACCAGCTCGTGGTCGCTGAAGTCGGGTTCCAAGACCATATTTATCCTGAAAAGTCCAGAATGTCCCATTAGAAATTCCGTATTTATACACTCAACATATCAAAAGAAAAGACTTTGGGAGGGGCAGCATGAGAAGCTCAGGGAAATAAGCAAAAACAAACAAAAACAAAAACAAAAAAACCTAGCTAATTTGATTCTTTTGGAATAATGTATAGCCCCACATCACTTAAAGTACTAAAAAAAAGCACCAAAAATGGAGACTAAAACTACATTCATCCTGTCAAGCTGAACCAAATGTGAATTTGCTGCTATGTAGTAGAAATAACTAAGTTATGGCTAAGACTAGAACTATATAGCGTGCCTAAGACACATGATGAATGTCTTCTTGGAACACCAGTGGTCATTTGCTAAGTTCTTCAGTGTTGGCAAGAATCAAAAAGAGAACTTACCACTACATGAATAGTGTGTTGCTGTAGGCCCCAAAATAGCAGCAGGTTGCAACAGAGACAAAAAAATGCAGCATAAGATAGAAGCAAAATCATACAGCAGGCAGGTTGTAAGGGAAAGTTGAAAGAATGCATTTAATTCCAATTGTTCTCCTAAATGTACTTGTGCATATGCTGAATTATATCACTTAACTATTCAGAAAAGCTCACTAAGAGTTCATTAAGGTCTTTGGTAAATTTACATGCTTTGGAAATTTTATAAAACAGGGCTACATCACCTGCCCCACAGGACCATTTATGAAAACAAAATGCAAAGTGTAAAGTGGTTAGCACAATGTTCGACACAAATCAATGCCATTCAGTGTTGGGTATTATTCTGCTTGAAAGCAAATACACAGAAAACAAATTGTTCTGGAACATGGGGGGCAACAACAAATATTCCAAATTCTAATGTAATGCTAAACAGTAGCCATTTGGGGGGGGATAATCAACAGAGACAGAGGAGTGATGGACAAATAAACATAAATGTCCTCAAAACTTAAAAATCTCAAACAAAATTTCAACAAAAGTTGAGCCCCTGAACTTAAAGGCCTGTAACTGGAGGAACTTTCTCTGTTGCCCATCAGTCAGGAACACAGGGACCATGGCTACTTCCTGAAACTGTCACTGACTCTCATGCCACATAGTCTTGATCAGTAAGCTGCAAACTCCATTTTCGACTAAGTGCTCACCGAAAATGCCAAAGGCATATAGTTTCTACGTCGTGCCAATTTCTTCCGATCTCGCTCAACCTTCTCTTTTTGGGCAAGCTGCTGGTAGTACTCAATTAGTTTGTTCATCTGTAAGAAATCAAAGAGAAAGTTACTTGTTTTATGAAAAGTTAACAAGAAAGACAAAATCAGTCAACTACACTGATGAGACAAAATGAATAGAAAAGACAAATAGTTTGCCCTTCACTACTTCATCTTTTCAGAATTGAAATGGAATCAAGTTTCACAAGAAATGTGCAATGAAAACATTTACTAACTTTACAACTTCATGCTTGTTTTATTGTGTTTTTAATTCACTATTTTCCCTCAGCTCAGACTGCTCCTTTTTTTTTCTTCCTCAAAACAGTATGTTTCATAATCATAATAAAAGGTACAGGACAAATCTACTCGGAAAATGCATTTGATCCAATTTCAAAGACGCCTGAAATAAGTAATGAAAAGACAACCATTTTTTTATTCCTTTTACTTTTTTTACTTTTATTCCTTTTATTTTAAGCTGAACTTACTCCCTGGCTGTAAGTCTTTGTTTCTTCAATTTCTTCTGGAATATTTTTTTCTGTGCAACCTCCACTTCTGGTTTAGGGGACACTTTGCTCATTTTCAGTAAGGATCATCTTGATGTTACAGGGAGAGCTCATATATGGGTTAATCTGACCATGAGCTCTGTAAATTCTGTGACAGAACTTAGAGGCTTTGCTCACCTGGTTGTGCTCAATGACCAGAGAATCACATCTTAAACCCTTAAATTTGGCATTACTCTCTGCATTTTTAAGCATGTGCAGTAAGAATCCAGCACTCATTTTGGGCCAACAACTCTGTGTCCAACCCCACTGGTTGGCATGGGTACACCTTCCAACGCCACCACTGTAATGTCGGAATGGCAAAAACTGCTTTTGCAGAGTGACATCTTTTAGCTGGAAGGCCTGGGTAGTTTCACATGTGTTTTTAAGAAGAACTCGGAGATTTGAACCTCTTGATTTGCATGACTTTGTAGGGTTTTCTGGATCAACTGAGTAGTGAACCATTTTCAAAGATGACTAAGGCCACTTATGGCAAGAACCCTATATATATAACATACATATATATATACACACACACACACACACACACACACACATATATATATTTAATGGCAAGGCTACAGGATCATTTATTTCTAAGACTATGATACTTTGTACTGCTTTAGCCTTGAGTCCATCACACATTTTCACTTTTTAAAATATATTTCATCATAAAAGCAATAATTGCTAGTTGTGAAAATTTCAAAAAAACAAAGAATCAAAAAGTATAAATTTTTTATCTATTGTGCCCAAGCCCAGCATTCCCCTTAGCAGAAGTATCCGCTATTGTCAACAGAGATCTTCTTATACACTCAGACACAGGTATGTCATATTTTGCATACATTTAAAGAAAAACAAACCATGAACAGATCTATAGCTTTGCCATTTATAAACAAATACAAATTTTTATTTTTTATATAAAGGAAATTATAATTTTCTTTTATACTGAAAATATCACGAACTTTTCATTCAGTACAAATAGATCTATCTCATTCTTTCCAAAGGCTGCATCTTATTGAATGTACAGATGTCCTATAAGATATTTAAACATTTCCTATGAAATGACTTAGATGGTCTTCTACTCCCCACTATGGATCTCTTAAATCAGCCTAACTACATTTAAGAAAAAACAAGCTAATGGTGTTATTTCTTTTCTTAAAAACATTTTAAAAGGCATCTCAAAACTTCTTTACTTGGTCTACATGGTCTGTATGGTTTGATCCCAAATATTTCTCTTCATTTGCGTAGTCCTATACTCCACTATAGTCATATTCCATTTCTCTTTGCTTTTTGTTTCTTCCATTTACAAGCTCTGTGCACATAATGCTCCTTTGCCTTGAATTCCTGCCTATTGTTGGCTGTCCTCAGATGGTAGTGCAATCCTCAGATGTGGAGCTGACAAGCTGAAATTCCTCCAATACATGTTAACATAGCATAACTTCTCTCTCCTTCACTTTAGTTACCAGTTTTACCTTTACTTGGGGATTGGGCACAATAGATAAAAAATTTATACTTTTTGATTCTTTGATTATTTGATTGATTCTTGTTTTCCCATTAAACTTAAGCTCTATGAAGGTAACAGCCATGTGTCCTATTGTTCAGCACAATACCTGGCACTCAGTAAGTACTCAATAAACGGAGACTGAAAGTATCATCATGCATGAGTTCAAGTATTTCTGTAGGTGAGAGCCGAGGTAGATACCTCTGAGAACTCAAGAAACCTGTACTAGTTTCCACTAACAATAGTGAATATTAGAAGGTCCAAGTCCCTAATGCATCACCTGGGATAGTTTTGGTTATTTCTAATTTTGCTGTTGATGTAGGTGAGTAAGTACAAATTATTAAATTGCAGTTTGATTGTAAATACTTCATTTCAACAGCAATTTCATCATTTTCTTACATTCTGCTTCTAGAGAAAAAACAATAACAAAACCCTACATGTTTACTACTTACTATAGCCAGAGATATATTTACTGTGAACTATTTAAAGGATGCTGAAGTCATGATTCCATAAGCTACTATGACTGAGTCCAAGGGCATCTTCTAAATTAGTGGAATTCTCAGGATTTAAGATGTCAGCATGTTTATATAATTTTCAAGAGTATTTGTGAACAAATGGAGCCTTTATTTTGTTGGTAGTTCTATGAAAAACAAAAGTACCCATTTCTTCTTTTGGTGATTTACAATTTGAGATGGGAACTAAAACTACACCTTGGTTTCTCTACTGACTTAACTCAGACTTGGAAAAAACTGCCATTGTGACTTAATGTCTAACAATGAGAAGCACTTTCTATGTGTAATAGATACCAAAATACAGATACAGCATGGATTTCTAAGCATATACCACATTGATAAAATGGGTACTCTTCAGTCTTTTTCTACATCTTTCCTTATTTCATCCTCTTTCTGAAGCTTTATACTTACCCGCTGTGTGTGAGGATTTTCAGGTTCCTGCCAACCACCACTGGCTGCAAAATAAAGGAATATTAAACAATTTAATAGATTTCCATAAATACTTATGACAGACATGTCATAATACTTATGTAGACATAAAAAATCTACATCATGACTGTGGTGGCTATATGATGATACACACTTATCAAAAATCATCAAAGTCTTAAAACTAGAGAGCTTCATTATGAGTAAATTATTATTTTTCATAAATACATTAGTATATTTCATAAATAAAAATTTTCATAGAAAAATCAGCAAGTCACAAAATGAACTTTTATGTTTTAAAAATATAAAATCACCACACATATCAGAATGGGAATGAAATTTTTTCTTTAAACCAAATGATGAAGATCACCATCACCACAATGAAGAAATGTATAGTTTCTGTCCCTGGCTAGGAACACATTACATTTCACTTTATTCTCATAATAACCCTCTCTGGTGAGGAATTTTTTTACTAGTTTCATTTTACAAAAGAGGATACAGGGGCTCAGAGAGGTCAATAATATGCACAAAGTCACACAGAGTCAGTAGTAAAGCCAGATTTCCATCACAGGCAGTCTGACTCCAGAGACTCTAGTGTTATCAAGGGTATCTGCAATTTTTTTATGACTTGAGTGTAGAGAAGAATTTCTTATATAAGGAAGATCAGCAAAAATCACAAAAGAAAAAAATTATTCCAAAAAGCTGAAAGTAAAACCATGAAGAATACTTTTAATAAATGGTGCTACAAGAATTAGATACCCACATCCATCAAATGAACACTGACCCTTACTTTACAATGTATACAAAATTTATCTGCAATGGACACAGTTTACATGTAAGAACTGAAGCTGTTATATTTCTATAAGAAATTATAAATGAAAATCTTAATGACTGGTTTAAAGCTTTCCTTACTAGAACACAAATATAAAGTGAAAAAAACTGGTCAAGTAAGATTACATCAAATTAGAAGCCTGTTTTCTTCAAAAGGCCCTGTTGAGAAAATGAAAAGTCAAGGTACAATATGGGAGAAAAAAATCTGCAAAACATACGCTTAACAAAGGGCTGTGTCCAAATCGAGAACTGTTATGCCATGATAAAAGACAATAAATAGCCTCAGTTTAAAAAATGGACAAAAGATTTGTATAAACACTTAAAGAAGATATCTTCTTCGCATGGTAAATAAAGTAAGAAAATGCAAATTAAAATCATAATGCTAACCAGAATGACTAAAATGAAAACTGACAGTAGTAAGGGCTTCTGAAGAACCAGAACACAGTTACACTGCTGGTAAGGATCCAAAAAGGCAACTGGAAAACAGTTTGGCAGTTTCTACTCAAGTTAAACATACACTTATAGCCTGTGACCCAATTCTAACTCCTAGATATTGTTTATGCAAGAAACCATACATTCACAATAAGACTGGCAGGCAAATGTTCATAGCAGCTTTATTGCTATTGGCTAAAACCTGGAAAAGACCCAATGACCTTAAACTGAAGAATAAATAAACAAACCAAGCAATAGACTAGAAAGACAAAACTTGGACAAGCCTCAAAAGCATGCTAAATAAAGACTACAAGTAAGTGTCCAATTACATAAAGTTCTAGGAAGAGCAAAACATCAGTGATAGAAACAATATCAGTGATAGTCAAGGGTCAGGAGGGGTGGGGGGCAAATGACTGCAAAGGGACATGAGGAAACATTTTAAGGTGACAGAAATGTTCCTCATCATAACTGTGGTGGTGGTTACATGACAGCACACGTCAAATTTTTAAAACTGGAGAGCTTATGAGTAAATTGTTATCTTAATATAACTAACAGAAAATAAGTAAGCTATAACGAGGTACCATTTCATAACTATCAGTTTGGAAAAACTTAAAAGAAGTCCAACAATAGCAGTACCTGCTAAGGGTCCAGAGCCTACTCACATGTTATCAGTGGGCACAAAGCCCGGTAACCACTGAGGGGAATGAAAGATGTATACAACTTAAAACCAGCAATATCACTTTTAGTTATGGAGAGAAGTCCTAACTCTAGTGATTCAGGAAACACATACAATGTATTTGTAACAGCACTGCTGTCAAAAGCAAACAATCAAAACCAACTTAAATGTCCATCAAAGAGACTGAACAACATGTATCACAAACATCATGATAGAGAAAAGTTGTAGCAAGATACAGACAGTATATTTTTGTTTAAAACTAAAAACCTACCTGTAAGGGGCTATTCACACAGATGTTCGCACGAAATTTAAGTGGCACAGAGGGAATGTAGTGCTGGGACGACATAAAAAGAGCCTATGCTATTTTCACTATGTTTCATTTCTTAAGTTGGTAAGAACATGAAAGCAAATTATCTGTATAATTAAAAATAACTTTTCAAAACAAAAATGGATCTCACTGCAGTAACACTGCACCCCCTTGGAAGAAATATCAGCACTGTTTGTATTCGGAAGGTTGCTTTACTTAAAACAATCACAAAATAATGCGTGAAAGAAATATTTTAGTGGTGATATTTTCAAAAATCTTAATGTCTCATCTAATTGCATCTTTAGAACTTGCTAGCAATTTATTCGAAATGGCAATTTGGTGAACATAATGATCTCATTATTAGTTTTTCTATGTACATTACTGACACAAATAAACAAATAGTTCTAATTGAAGTGGTTCCAGGACTTCTCAGATACCAAGGACATCATGAAAGAAATGAAATTCTCTCTACTCTTTAAGAGCTTTTAGTTTTCAAGTATCACTGTCAAGATACCCTCAAGGAGGTACGTTTCTAGAAGCAAACAAAGTTTAAAGCTCTGAAATACAAGATCAATAATTCTAATACCCCAATAACCCAAAAAGCAAAAACATTAATTTATGGAGTAGTAAACTGAACAATGCCATTTGAGTTTCTGGATTTTGTTTCTTAAACTTAAGAAACATGGAAAACTATAATTCAACTCACAACGCGTGAAAGCTACTTTGAGATTATTTTTAACATTTACCTTAAATTTGCAAACAAATTCAAACAACTTATCTGCAACATTGACATTAATATGTAAATATTTACTAACAATCTAAAAAAGATATTATAGACTTTTATATAAGCCATGTTCAGGTTAATACTTTGTGCAACAAACATTTATAAGGCATTATGATATAAAATACAGCTATTAACTTTTTGCTAACTCAATGACTTATTAACTCAAAGTACAAAATATTTTATAAACACAATATACAAAAATATGACCAAGAGGTCAAGCATTTGATGACAAAAAGCAAACAGAATCAAGAATTAAAATGTTAAAAACAGCTTGAATCTTCACACACATTTACTTCTAAACTGCACTGAGATTTGAGAGAAAGTTTTTAGCTAATTCTTCATTTGTTATGTAAAATGACAGAATGAGTTTATTATGGATTTACTCATAAACTGGTAAGCTAAACTTTTTTATGAAAATCCAAAAAGGGAATCGAACAAATCTGAAAAGTGTTCAGAAAAGTAAATGAAATTTCAGAAAGAACAAAAAAAGAAAAAGTCAAGTTAGCTGCTGTTTATATAATAAGTAACAACTCAACACTCTGAAGCCTATGTAATTTTTCCACTTTGATGTTAACTGTGGAGTATGTGCAATGTAAAGAGGGAAGTTTCCTAATAAAGGTAAGCTCTGAAACACTTAAGTGATGAAAGTAAATAAAGCCTTTAGTGATTTTTAAGTGGAAGGGTATGTGCCTTTTCTGCTTCGTGATAAATACTTGAAATAATAATGCACATCTTTTTCAATGCTTCAGGATAAAATATATGTACATGGGCTTGCTGAGCAGAAAAGAAAAAGCAAAGTAAATCTGCAAGAGATCTCAAATTGCTCTCCAAGGTAGTAGTGTATGGGAGAACTATCAATATTTTCTTAGGTCTTTGCTGACACCTGATATTACCAAATTAAATTTTTTTTGACAAATCAATGGATGTAGATTTAATTTGCACTTCCCTGATGACAGTTGTGTCCAGGGGGGGTTGACTCCAATGGGGGATTGAGTCTAGAACTCCAACATCTGCAGACGTTCAAATCCCTTATATAACCTAGCAGAATGTTTGCATATAATTTATGCACACACTCCTGCATCTTTGACTCATCTACAGATTCCGTAATACTTAACACAATGTAAATACTATGTAAATAACTGCTATACTGTTATTACTTAAGGAATGATTACAAGAAAAAAGTCTGCTTAGTACAGGACTCAACCATTATAAGCTCAATTACATAGTTGATAGAGTATTTTCATCTGCAGTTGGTTAAATGAGGATGCAGAAAGTGTGGCTACAGAAGGGCTGACTGAACTAGTAAAGTTGAACTTATCTTACTGCTTAACTATTTTTTAAGATATTATCTCACCAAGTTGTGTGTGAAAACAAAAAATTCAATCAACCGGATATTTAAGCTATGAAAAATTTAGATTACTCAAAACAAGACCTTTGTTCTCCAGGAACTTATACTGGAGCTGAAAACACCTGCCAAATCCACATATAAAAACAGCAATAGTGGGCCCTCCCTTGTGGCGCAGCGGGTTAAAGCACAGCACTAAGAAGCTTAAGCCACTTCCGCATGAGTTCAATTCCCTCCTGCCCCGGAGGAGAACCACATGGAGAGGCAGACCTCTCCTGACCCGCCTGCTGCTCCCCTCAGCAGTGTACTTCGTCGATCTGCCTATTCTGCTCCCCGCTCTGTCTCTGGTGAATCCTCTCACCCTCCGCATCTCTGGCCTGTACCCCAGTTCTATATGAATAAAGAAACAAAAATCTTTAAAAAAAAAAAAAAAGAGCAATAGCACAAGGTAGTTCATGATACCCAAAGAGAGAGTAGAAACAAGAAAAAAAGACAATGGAGTATTATTCAGCAGTCAAGAAAGATAAATTCATACCATTTGTGACAACATGGATGACTGTGATGAAAGGAATAATGCTAAGTGAAACTAGTCAGAGGAAAAAGATAAATACTGATGGTATCTAATATGTGGAATACAGAGTAAGTAAGTAGAGGCCAGATAAAGTTTAGCTCACTACAGAACACTAGAGGGCAGAAGGTGGGGGGCAAAGGCGGGGGTGAGAACAGAGAGAAAGAAGGCACACACGGTCTATGGTGATGGAACAGGGATGAGTTGGTAGTGGATGCACTATGGTGGTAATACCTTATGGCGATACCCCAATTAAAAATGAGGAACATATATTTTAAAATAAAGAAACAAGAAAAAGGCAGTGTTATAAGATTACAGGAGGGAAACAGGTGGGACTTGAGTTGTGACTTTATAAGGGTTAGGGTCTTTCATGGAATCTATAAGGATTAGTGAGGAATTTAGGGGTGAAGATAGTTTAACCCTACTCCACTCCTTCAGTACACACAATTTGGTTACCAACCATTTTTATTTCCACTTTTGAGTGCTGCTGTTTATATCCTTTCCTCCTGTTTCAGTGGGTTTCTTTCTTACTGGCTTATGAGGTTACTTATTTTCAGTGTGTTATATATGATCCAAACATTTTGTCACTTATCTTTTAGTTTTGTTCTTGGTGTGTTTTCATGATGGGAATGTTTATTTTTTATTAAAAGCACTAATATTTGATTCTTAGAAAGTACCAGACTTGAAAATACCAGTCTCATGTTGAACTCCATCTCACTCACCCACAGATTTGTCTGCCATGCCCACATCTCTAGAGGTCCAACGGCAAAATCCACATGCCAGGTAGTAGGCTTTCTTCATAGTGGTCTTGGCTGGATCATCAGGAAGCTGTGTGGAAATACTCGTTGCCCGGGTGGAGAGGGTGTGCATGCAGCCAGGACAGTCAAAGCAGTTGGCACATCTACAACAGAGATTATTATCACTCAATAAAAGTTACCAAGTACCTACAATGTGCTGGACATTGTTCTAGGTGTTAGGAATTTAAGGGAGGCGCATCTCTCATGCAAACATAAAAAAGTACTCCTGAGAGACTCTTACAAACTTTGTTTTAAAATTTCAAAGATACGATATTTCATTAATTTTTAAAAATGCAATCCCCAAAGTTCTGAAGAATTAAGAGCCTATTTCACAGTGGAAACCATTGTCAACAGACAAATTGTTTCAGACTCTTGGCATGTGCAGACCATGAAGATTTCTGATAAAAAAAGACCAATTATACAATGGAAAACTCAGCTACAGCAATACAATTGGCTATGGAACTGGGTTTGGAAAATAACTGCTTGTTTGCTGTGCCAAAGAGCTAAAACAGATTATCACACAATGCCATCACACTTGAGCAGTTTAGATGTGGGGCATCTTCAGGGCTTTTGGTTTTTTCCCCTTTAGGCACTACTCTTTCTGGGGCTCAGCCAGTAGGGGCCTCTGTGCCCCTGAAGGTTTTGCCTTTTTTTTTTTTTAAAGGTTTATTTATTTATGCATACAGAACTGGGGTACAGGCCAGAGGAGCAGGGGCGGTGAGAGGATTCACCAGAGACAGAGTAGGGGGCAGAACAGGCAGATCAATGAAGTACACTGCTGAGGGGAGGAGAGGGCATGTCAGGAAAGGTCTGCTGCACCATGTGGGTCACCTCTGGGGCTGGGGATCAAACTCATGCTGAAGTGGTTTTAGCTTCTTAGTACTGTGCTGTAACCCGCTACACCACCAGGGAGGGCCCAGGTGTTGCTTTTCAAAGTCCTGACACTTACGTCCTGTCCTGGTCTTGCTCTGAAGTTTTATTCTGGAAATCTAATTACCTGTGATATTTTGCCACGTGGATAATATCCTTGAAGATAATAACAATACCTTCCTCACAAGCATACTTTGAGGATTAAATAACACAATTCACATGTAGACAACATACACAGCAGTGTCTGGACAATGAGGACCGATTTCTCTGGCACAGGAAGACAGGTAATAATGGTTTACATCCATGGACGTGTAGGGATGTGACAGGTAACAAAGGACTTTCACACCAGGCTAACGAGATCTTGGCTTTTAATACCATTCTCCAATAAAACCAGGGATTCTTGGAGGAAGGGCTAACTAGGACTGAGACAGAAAACATATGGGATGAACCTGGTGCGGTACTCAAAGGAATGAATGACCCTCCTTCACCAGTGATGGAAGTATAATACAGGCATACAGGAAGTCACTAAAGGAACATCCAAAAGCCTGTTTGGAGCTTCTATGTGACCCAGCAATCCCACTCCTAGGTATCTACCCAAAAGAGACAAAAACACTGATTCAAAAAGACACCCGCACACCCATGTGGTACATATATATAATGGAAAATTACTCAACAATCAAAAATGATAAACACATGCCTTTTGTAGCAACATGGATGGAGCTGGAAGGGATGATGCTTAGTGAAATAAGCCAGAAAGAAAAGGGAAAATATGGATGGTTTCACTCATAGCAGGAGTATAAAGGACCAGGGGATAAATTAGTAATAATAATGAACAACTATATACCAGAGAAATTTTATGGAGGTGGAGGGAGTGCACTAGATTATGGCGATGGCACATGGGTGATTTGGTGATGGGAAGCCCAGAGGGATTACAACTGAGATGGGAAAAAAGCACAAAATGATGTAAAAATAAACTATTATTAAAAAAAAAAAAAAGAACACCCAAAAGCCAAAGCTGGAACAATATGAGTGAATAATATTGGATTACATGCCTAAGTATGAAATAAATATTCATAAGATCATTCTGCTTTATGCAAATAATATGGGAGAAGAAAAAAATTTCCATGCAAAATAATTCCAAATTGATGTAGTTAGCCCTGAGGAGGGAGAGCACAACTTCTCATATTTAAGTGTGGGCTGTGATAGTGATTTTCCTTTCAAAGAGCAGATACATGGAACGTGGAGGTGGGGGGAAGGTACTAACTACAGTGGAGATTCCTAACAAGCACTAAACCCTAGTAATCAAGGTTCAAGCCAGATAGTCAAGGTTAATATCAACAATGTAAGTCGATGAAAATATGCATCCTTCATATAATGTGTTGAGAAAGGCACTTTATTCTTGTGGTCGTCCTCCCAAAACACATTCCCCCAGCTGATGAGAAAAACATTGGACAAATTCCAACTGATACACATTCTATAAAATATCTGACTAGTACTCCTCAAAACTCTTAAGGTCATTAAAACCAAGGAAAGTTTAAGAAAATATTACAGTAAAAAGAGTGTAAGGGGCCCTCCCTGGTGGCGCAGCGGGTTAAAGAACAGCACTGAGAATCTAAAGCTGCTTCCGCATGAGTTTGATCCCCGCCTGCCCCGGAGGTGACCACATGGCGTGGCAGACCTCTCCTGGCCCGCCCGCTGCTCCCCTCAGCAGTGTACTTGGTCGATCTGCCTGTTCTGCTCCCCACTCTGTCTCTGGTGAAGCCTCTCGCCACCCCTGAGCCTCTGGCCTGTACCCCAGTTCTGTATGCATAAATAAATAAATCTTTAAAAAAAAAAAGAGTGTAAGAAGATGTGCCTATTAAATATAATAACAGGATCCTGGAAGACAAAAATATTAGGAAAAACTGAGGCAATGTAAATAAGATGGTTTTATTTAATAATAATGTAGCAACACTGTTTATTAATTAAGAAAAATATACCATACTAAGCTAAAATGTTGATAATGGAGACTGGGTATGGGGTAAATGGAAATTCTCTCTACTATCTTCACAGTAACTCTTAAATATGAAACTGTTATAAAACAGCTTATTTAAGGAAAATCAAAGGACATTTCATTTTTGGCAAAGGTAATGCTAAAAAAAATGAAAAACCGCTTCTCAAAAGAGAGTTAATTCTATGCATTTGTTTTTACACCAAGTATTTAAAAATATTTGAGGAAAACAGAAAAACAAATGGATCCCAGCCTTACCTATTCTTTTTCAGTTTGGCTTCAGCCGATGGCATATTTTCTAAGCAACTGGGACAGTAATGGGAGTCCACCTAGAAAGAAGAAATAAAAAATAAAACAGAAGTAAAGAAACTCAGTTTAGATTATACATATGCCTATGCTGAGTACTGTATGTTAAAATAGACTGTGTCTGTGGCTCTCCTGCCTGCTTTTGACTATGCAGGTGTTTTTTTTTTTTTTTTTATTTCCATAAACCTTTTCCCTTTGCAAAACAGGAGTGGCAGCTCTCCCACCCACTTGTGACTATGCAGAGGCCTCTCTTTTTTAATTTCTCTTTGCCTTTTTACAAATGTTTTAAAAAATTATTGCAACTGATAAACAATGATCTTCCAAAGAACCTGAGCTTGAGGTTTATCCTTCAAGTTATCTGTTTTTCTTATTATTCACTTTTTCTGAAACCATTTGTTTTTATTTTCTGATATTTCATCAAGGTTTTAGTATTAGATGATTAAAGTTATCTTTGTAAAAGAAAAACAACGAGAATCTATGAACAGATTATAAAGCTGGATTAGCATTAGTGGATAGTAGTAACTTGACCACATTTAAATTATCAGGGAGATTCAACTTTGTGACTAGTTTCAGCCCTTACTAACTTCATCTTTCCTCACGTCTTAATGGACTCCAATTCACAGGCCAACACTGCTCTGCAAAAGATGCAGTCACAGATTGAATATCCTAGCCGAAAAGAGACTTAGAGATAATGGAGACTGAACTCCCTCACCCCAACCAAATGGGAATCTAATGCAATAAATTCTGCTGTGGAGCCGGAACAGGGGAGCCTCTAAAAGAGAAAGGACCTGCCAAGGTGCGACAAGGTAGGAGAAAGGGAGGGAGGAAGCAAAGGATATTGAGGAAAAATACCAGAAAAATCAAAATAATGCAAGAATCAATAATTCTTTTAGTTAACTGTTTCACTATTCTCTGTATTATAAAAATGTATCTAGTAGGGTTATTACTATTATTAATGTGTAATGTAGCATATGATATAAAAATGTCCTATAGTATGAGACATGTTTTCAAAGTTTTTTGTTTTGTTTTGTTTTTTTTAACAATACAGGTATCTTCAGTGAAGCTCTGGAAGTTAGGCTGCTTGGTTTCTAACCTTGCTTGTCCTTTCCACCCCCAAATTTCTGGTTGCATGATTTAGGACAAACATTATGTCAGCTTATCTGTAAAATTTTTTTTTTAAAAAAAAGATATCTACTCCATTGATTTATAGGAACATTATAAGTTATGTAGAGCACATGCATTAAAACAGTGAATAATCAGTATCTATTATTACTATCAGGTTTTAAATCTATCAGGATTTATGTCTTAACTATTTTTTTTTAATATCCAAGTTTGTTTAATGGACAAGCTATGCCAAGTACTGCATAAGTTTGGGGATTTTTTTATTTAGTGATTTTTTTTTTTTTGGACGCGATTTTGCAGTGTCAGCAATCCAGTGGCTAACGCCCACTTGTGCCTGTGAAGGAAGACATTGTACCTCCAGAATTGTCGTGAATATAACTCATTAAACTTCTTACAGACCTTATTCTAAGCGTTTTTCACTCAGTTTGCCCCATCCCAATCTCTATCTTGCTACAAGCCTTGGCCTCAGCCAAGGAAAACAAGGCAGTCAGCTGAGGGCCCAGTTTCTGGCCAAGTAGGGGCAGAACTTCCATGATGGGAGGGGCAGGAATGAAAACCCCTATTCTCCCTACCCTGGTGAGCCCCAATCAATTCTGGAAATCTCTCACCTCGCCCGACAAGTGGTCAGGACTAAGTACCCCCACATCCCTTTCTCTCCCTCCTAACCCCAGGAGACAGCCGGAGTCACTAAACTCAGGTGGGCCTAATCTGGGGGCGCTCTAGAACCAGAAGATCCTCTCAGCCCCACCCAAGGCCGCACCTCTTCCCCAAGTTAACAAATTATAAACAAATTAAACCGCAGGTAAATCTGAGTGACTAAGACAGAGCCAATCAGCAAGTTAGAAAAACGACTACCCGCCTCCAACCGGCGGAACTTCCCCGCCGGCCCGGGTGACTCGGTCGAACGCCTCTCCCACCCCACCCCCACTGCTCACGGCACCACGGCGTTACCTCGTGAGACACACATTCCAGCGATCGCAGCTCGCTACAGTAGCGGCAGAAGTAAAGCTGAGAGAGCGGTGCCCGAACCTTCTTTTCTCCCTGGACTAGATAGAGAACCCTCTCCGATTGCAGTAGCGACGCCATCTTCTAGGGGGAGGAGTCAACGACGCTCATGCGCGTCATGTGACCAGGCCGGTGCAGCCCCCGCCGTCCTCCTCACGTCTTCTAACGTAACCAGTGTCGTCAGTGTTCCGACCGGCGGAAATCGCAGTGCGCGTGCGCAGCCAGGATCCCGCTTTCTCCTTTCATGGTGGCGCCCCACCAAGCTCTTGATTGCTTATTCACGGCCCGGGCTGATCTCAGGCCTTGGTGACTGAGTATGGAATCGCACGTCAAATCCGGACAAAGGCTTAGTCCTCTCCTCTGTAAGGAAGGCTGCTCCTGTTTTGTTTACATAGGTTCTCTGCTCCCGCCTTACAGGCAAATAACCAGAGAGTACGGACCATATTGCATGCACGAGGCATTGATTTTTCAGGTATTAGTTAACTGCTTTTATTATTATATTATCATTTATCTGCTGAGGGACACAGTTTCATGAGAAGTAGAAAGCTGAGCCACACCAGCCCGTTTTTCTGACAGCCTTGCCACGTACAGTAGACAACTTTAACAGAAATTACCTCCTTCAATTGTCTTAGACTGAGCTGCTCCAGAGAACATATCTTATTAATTTCCAGGTTTCCAATGCTTAACATTGGAGCTATGCCTGTATTGTATTCCATATGAACTGAATAATGAAAAATATGTTAAGAATTAGAACAGTGTAGCTAAGTGTTACATTTTTCCAATTCATAAATTAAGGCTTAGTTATTAAATCACCACTGGGATTGGTCTAGCAGAGACTAGAGCCCATGTTACCTTTCATTAGATCTGTGCTTTTCTCATGCTAGTGTTTTTTACTATTGCCCATGTGACGTTAAATGATTGAAAAGGGAACTGAATGGTAACACCGAGTACTTACTGATGTTAGAACAATGCATGAAGACTTTACAAGCACTGTCGCATTTAATACTCACAAAGACTATAACTAAAAACTTTGCAGGTATCCCACCCCTGCTCTAGCCGGGAAACGAAGTCATCCACACATGATGCAATGAAGACAGGACAGGTTTCTCTTCCTGCCCTATCAGAAAAGCATTCCTGTGTGCTACATTTAACAAGTGTGTCTTCTTACCCCTAAGAGAATAATAAGGAAGTTAAACACCAGGTGTTAAAGCAAGCAGTGTCCACCTGAAATTTCCTTATGCTTGCATCAAAAGGACATGCCCACACTTGCCCACCTCCCTTTGTTTTAAGCCTTCGTATAAATAAGCCTGCACTCTGTCAAAGAGTAGGATGTTGGTCTTTTAGACACTAGTCTGTGCCCCCCCCCTCAGTTTGCCAAAAAATTTAACAACTTTCTTTCTCAGACTTGGTTTCCTTTTATTGGGAGGGAAACTGAGGCTGGTGTTGGGAACAGGCTCCATGACATGGGAATCTGCTGCCTGAGGTTTAAGTCAGTCTTCTCAGATTAAAAAAGATAAATTAACCTTGGGTACTTAACCCTTGCATCTTTGTAGTGCATTTAATAGATTGGCAAACATCAGATTCTACATTGCCTTCCTCCAACATCAGGATGTCTTTAGATCAGGACAACTTAGAAGCCTATCCTATGGAGAGTAATTATAAAATAATTATATTCTCTTTTTTCTTAAAAAAAATTTTTTTTACATCATTCTTCATTTTGTACACTTTTTCATCTCGGTTGTAATCCCCATGGGCTTCCCACCACCAATTCAACCATGTGCTGTCACCATAGCCCTGTGTGTATGCTCTTCCCACCCCAGTTTTGAGCCTATTCCCCTCTCCATCCCCTGTAGAATGTGTCTGTTTTATAGTTGCTCATTGATTTTCATTACAATTAATTTTTTTTCCTGATCCCTTACACTCCTGCTATGAGTGAAATCATTATGTATTTTTCTTTTTCTTTCTGGCTTATTTCACTAAGCACGATCCCTTCCAGCTCCATCCATATTGCTACAAATGGCATGATTTTATCTTTTCATTGCCGAGTAATATTCCACTGTGTAATATGTACCACATCTTGATAGTCATCTATTTTTGGGCATTTGGGTTGATTCCACATCTTCCCTGTTGTAAATAATGCTGCAATAAACATAGGGGGGAGCAGGTATCCTTTTGAATTACTGGTTTTGTGTTCAATATCACTTGAAATAGGGAAATGCAAATCAAAACCACAATGAGATACCACCTCACACCAGTGAGGATGGCGCATATTAAAAAAACTCACCACAGGGCCCTCCCTGGTGGCACAGCACATTAAAGCACTGCACTGAGAAGCTGGGGCCACTTTCGCATGAGTTCGATTCCCGCCTGCCCCGGAGGTGACCACATGGCGTGGCAGACCTCTCCTGACCTGCCCTCTGCTCCCCTCAGCAGTGTACTTCGTCGATCTGCCTGTTCTGTTCCCCACTCTGTCTCTGGTGAAGCCTCTTGCCACCCCTGAGCCTCTGGCCTGTACCCCAGTTCTGTATGTACAAATAAATAAAATCTTAAAAAAAAAAAAAAAAACTCACAACAACACATATTGGTGAAGATGTGGAGAAAAAGGAACTGTCCTACACTGCTGGTGGGAATGCAAACTGGTCCATCTACTGTGGAAGCAGTTAGGAGGTTTCTCAAACTGCTAAAAATGGAGCTTTCATATGATTCAGCAATTCCACTTCTAGGTATCTACCCAAAGGAAGAATAATTATATTCTTAATGAATCACTGTTTCTAGCTCATAAAATTGTGTTTAATGGAATGGCTCTCACAGAGTAAAGTCTGTTGGGTTGCTTTCTGGGTTGAAATCCTCCCTTCTATTATCTAATAATTCTTTGTTTAACTATTCTTGAGACTTTATTTTTAGTTAACAGAAGGTACTATCATTATCTCTACAGTCTATAAAACTGGCTCAGAAAATTGCAATGACTTAAGATTTCACAAGTAGCAACAGAATCCTGTTCTGACTCCAGAGCTTGCAAACATTATCCCTATGCATACTGCCATAAGCATTTTCTTTCTTTTTCTGATTTTTAAGGTTTAATTGATAATTAAAATTATGTATCATTAAGTTGTACACCTTGATGATTTGCTATACATTGTGAAATAATCAACACAAGCCAACTAACATCTGTCACCTCATATAGTTATCATTTCCTTTCTTCCTTCCTTTTCTCCTTCTTTCTTTACTTTGTAGTGAGAAGACTTAAGACCTACCTACTTAGCAAATTTCAAGTCCATTACACTAGATGTGGTCGCAATAGCTCTCCCACCAATAAAGCACCACTGTCATCCATGACAGTACATTGTAATCTCCTTTCTTTCCCATTCTCATCTCTTCTCCTTATCACTTCCTCTCCCCTCCTGGATGCTTAAGATCTATGGTAAGTTTTTTTAAACATACAATGTCAATATTTTTTATTTTCCCTTCCCACAAAACAAGACTGAAAATTTCTATTTAGGAAAATAATTCAAATCTGAACAATCAATACATTAGGTCAGCACTTGTGCCTACTACTGTAACAGGGTGGTCCCTAGGAAAAGGGCAAGTTCCAGGTTCCCTGCCCCACCCAGAAGGAGGGTGGAGCTGAGCAGAGAAAAAGGAGAGAAGAGAAGGAGTCAAGGAGAGAAGAGGAAGGAGAGAAGGAAGCTGGATGGAGGAAAAGGGCAAGTTCCAGGTTCCCTGCCCCACCCAGAAGGAGGGTGGAGCTGAGCAGAGAAAAAGGAGAGAAGAGAAGGAGTCAAGGAGAGAATAGGAAGGAGAGAAGGAAGCTGGATGGAGAATAAAAAGGAGACCTGAGGAAGCCACATGGAGCAGCAAGCATGTGATAAAGAAACTGTGCTTGTTTCCTGACCCTGGACAGATGTGGGTGAGAGACCTGCAGGGAGGTGACTATGGCAGTGTTTATATTGATTTTGAGTTTGCTCTTTTCCTCCCAGATTTGTCTGGCCATGTCTGACCCTTTTCCATGGGTCCCGGCCAGAAGGTGCTTTACTCTTGTGGCAGGCTTTCAGGCCTTGCTTTGGGCCAATCCCTTTTGGGTTAACTTTTGCCCACAGGGGATGTGTAACTTCAGGTGTTTGATTTAGAAGTTATATTCTTTGTGTTCTGTATTGTATATTCACTGTATTAAAGTCCCTTTTCATTAAAGTTAATATATGTTTTGTCTTGATGCGGTGGATGGCAGAACCCACTTAGAGCAGTCAGGTTTGGGGCTTCAGGGGTGCCCCTCTCCCCCTGTCCTGTAACAGATTTGGTGTACTATAATAGATTTTGTCCTCTAACAGATTTGGGGTCACTATAACACTACTACTCATCTCTAAATATCTATTACTTTCTATCCTTTGACTTCTACATCCTCTTGCTCTAAAGGTCCAGTTACCTTTCAGTGCTACGCAATTACATCCTTTACTAGTGTGAATAAAATAACTGGTCGAACTGGTCTCCTAGTTTCCAGACTTTCTCAGCTTAAGCTTGGACATGCTTAAGTTCTTAAAGCTGATTGAGTTGCTCTGACCTTCAGATGGCTTTCAAGTACCAAAGTCAAGGTCAAATTCCAGGGTCCCATATTTTAGCTGATTTCTGATCTTATTTCACTTGCTCATACCTCAGACTCTGGTCCATTGGAACTACTGCTGCTACTCTGAGTACACATATTTGGATTCTCCCCTCAGCTATGACTACTTATCTGACAAGTCACTGTCCTCTGTGATTATATTCAAACTAGTGTAATCTCTCAAATGTGCTAGAGTTCCTGTATCTCAGGTCCTTTGGAGAGGCCTTTATCTTGGAATGCACCAGTCTCCCAATTTCTATTCTTGCCCCTGGGCACCACATCAACCTTTTTCATTACAAAACAACTATGATAAACATTAACTCTTCTCTCCCATTCTCAACTGAAGAAATCATGAGAATGAAGCAAGTTTCAGCTTACCACTGTTAACCCAGAGCCTAACATAGTACTTATCAAATGAAACCCAGAGTAAAAATATTAAATAAGTAGACTTCCATGTACGAATATTCAGTTGCACATTGTTTATAGTACCTAAAATGGAGGAGCCATCTGATTATTTATATGTATGG